AGAGAGAGAGAGAGAGAGAGAGAGAGAGAAAGAGAGAAAGAAAGAAAGAAAGAAAGAAAGAAAGAAAGAAAGAAAGAAAGAAAGAAAGAAAGAAAAGAAAGAAAGAAAAAGTTTGCTCCTTGAGTCTAGTTTCTTAATGTGGTGGATCATAAATGCCCACAGTCTGCTCTACTTCCATCAAGAGGTGGGGTTGATGTCCCCCTTCCACAGTGACTCCAGGCTTGGCTATGACTTGCTTTGGCCAATTAAATATCAATTATCTTATAGAGTCATGAGACTTAAATGAATACATGTGAAGGACTTAGAACAATAACTGCAATGCTGGTAAGAGCTCAATAACTGTTAGTCTGTTTGCCAATTTTTATTATTTGCAGTACATGAATGTTCTATTCCTTATCTCCTATGTTAAAGTTAAGCCTCAAATTGACCACTGATTTCTGTCCTCTTTCCATTGTTCTGCCAGAAGTGTTAACCTAAGAAGGTGGCAGAAAAATAAGGAGATTTAATCAACAGTCTCCTAAATAAGGTGATGAAAAGGATTGTAAAGATTCATTGACAAATTCAAGTTTTTATTGAATGCCATAGCTCACTTAATAGGCATAGTTAGACATAGTATTATCTCATTTGCTATATCTGATATCACATAACAAAGTTTGAGATTATCATAGAATCTGATAGCCTCATTAACACATTTAATCTATAGAGAAATAGATATTGCGGTTTTACATTGACATTTACTTGATTTGAAAAACGACCTGCTGTGTACATCCAGAAATGCAATGTAACATGACAATCACAGAAGAAAGGAAACAAAACAAGGCTCATGAGGAAAATAACTTCTTAAGAACTATCATAGCTTGAAGGTAAAATTCACAAGTATCCAGTAATAAGAAACTCACAATCAAAGCAGCACTGCAGATACAGCATTAAAATGGGATTCAGTTCTGTGTCTTCATTTGAGAATCTTCAAACAAGGAAGAAGGATCACCTATTTTCCTGTGATTTGTCAATAAATTTACAAAGTTATTTTGTAAATGACCTTGCTGGTTAATAATTACATTGCATTTGAAAATCTACTTCAGCCCTCTTCCCTTCCCTATTTTTCCTGGGAAAATAGAGAACATTAAAAAAAAGGAAATTTTTTAGGAACAGGCATTAATGTTTGCTATAACTTAATTCCTTAGCAGCCATAATGCTTTTTAATAATTTAATAATTTTATGCTATCAAGTGAAGCAGGTAAGTAGATCACATGCTTTGTAAATACTAACACTAAACAAGAGAATACAGCAATTAAGAATCTGGTTCCAACCAGAACAGATTCCTTAAAATATGTCTTCCTTTTGATCCTGATTGTCCTTTTGGATGCAAGTGATGCTTGTTAATACCCTTCAGCTATCAGTTCTTCTGGTCTTCATTCAAAGTTCAAAAGAGAGAAGATGGATGAGGACTGAAATTAAAAAGGACTTTTTATATATGCAATCAGTGGACACATTCAAAAGGAAAAGATGAGAGAAAAAGGGGTCCTCTGCAAGGTTGTGGCTCAGTGGTAGAGCACTTGCCTTGTATGCATAAGGCACTGGGTTTGATCCCTGGCACCACATAAAAATAAAATAGAGGTATTGTGTCCATCTACAACATATATTACATATTTTATAGGGTACCTCTGCAACAGACTTAAAAAAAAAGTTTGACCAAATTAAATTAGCTTACCTCTCTAAACACTGATTTCCTTATTTCTAAGGCAAATTCATTCCATAATCCTTCTGGTTCCTTTTTAGCTTCAATATTCTCTCATTTGGTTCTTCTTCTTCTTTCTTTTTTTTTTTTTTTTTTTTTTTTTAGAGTGGAAAGTAGAAGCTTTATTAAAGGACAGTAGAAAGGGGCCCCAAGAGATGGAATCCCTCATTTGGTTCTTAATGGATGCATGAACTGAAACACTAATCATACATTTTGCTGGAGGTGGAATAGTTTCTCATTAACACATCAGGAGTGAAAGAATGTTCTACTTAATCCACATCTATATCAGGTTCTGAAATGGCTCAAGGGAAGTTATTGGTTTGGGGCAAGAGTAAAGCCTGTAGGTAATTTAGTAGTTTAAACAGTGTCTAAATCCAATTGCCAAAGAACATTGTCAACTTAGGTTGTAACCGGAATTGCCTGATAAACCTGTTTTATTGCTGCCTGAGTCCTAGCCCTGTATGTTGCTCTGAAGTATAGCCTGGTCATAATTACTTTCACTAGCTCTCTAGGTGATTCTCACCCAAGAAAAAAGGAAAACTACTAACACAGAGTGGTAACCTCTCAAACTTAAGCATGAATTGGTCTCCTGGAGGGATTATTAAGATTGCTGGTTGCCATATATATAACTGATGCTGGTACCTGAATCCTAAATTTAAATCCTGTTATTACCACCTCCATAATCTTAGGAAAATACTCTCTAATCTGTAGTCTCTTGATAGCAATACTTAGATCTCAGAGCTGTGAGACATAAATAGTGTACCAATCAGTATCCTGGAGGGATTATTAAAACAGATTGCTGGTTGCCACACTCAGAGCCTCTCAGTAGGTCTAGAATGAAGCCTAAAAATTGCTTTTCTAACATATTTCCCAGTAGTGATGCTTTTGTCCAGAAACTTCCCTTTGAGCACCACTGGTACAGTTCCTGGCACAGAATGCAAAAACAAATATTAACTTCCTTTTTCCATTATACATAGCTAGATGGACCAATGATTACACTAAGATGTTTGCACAGAAGTTAATGTTTCACAGGAAAAGCAGCCCATCTAACGAAAATTACATGTATAATCATGACAAGTATGAGAAATATTTTAAAGTACAAGGCATTAAAAATACCTGCATCCCGTTTTTCAAAGCTTTCATTATAATTTAGGTGGTAGGAATATTAAAAACAGTATTAAGTATTAGGAATATTAGGTTCAATCTATAAAGAATATGAATTTTTTTTACAACATATAATGGATTCTGATACCTCATCCATGGTAATAATTTGTTTTCCATAGAATTAGAACAACATAATAAATAGCAATACCTGCATCAAACTTTAATATTTTGGTCTTTAAATGCTATTTAATTTCCAAGAAAACCTGTAATATAAGTGCATAAGAATCCCTATTACCACAAAGCAAAACTACCGATGATGGGATAGGTGGCTTTTTATTTACATATACTAACAAGTAAAAAAGCAAATCTCTTTTCTGCTTTCCATTTGCTTCAGTTTGTATGTCCCAAGGTCTTTCATGAATTAATGTCTAAACCCTGAGGTGAATCCTGGGAGGTTAAACAGGCCACTATAGAAGTAGTTGCACATGCCTTGCCATCAGATCTAGGGAAAGCACTAGAAGTTGGGCCTTCATGGTGGACTGGTTAAAATAATAACTGGATACTGTTTGGTTTTTCTCCATGGAACCTACAATGAGTCTCAAAAAGTACTGAATAGTTCAGGTTGGAAGGCATAAGTTAGGATTGTTTAAAGCATGTTTCTCCCTATGTCAATTATTGACCCAGAGGCAAGGTCTTACTGGAACTTTTTATTTTAAAAGGCCTTCCCTTTCCATTCTAGTCCGATGCCATTAAAAGACAGATTTCCTTTTCTGAACTCTCTAGAAAATAAAACTGATGACCACCTGTAGATCTTCATTGCTGCTTCATGTTCTCCATGGTCCTATTTCTTTTCATTACTATTTTCAATTATTACTTAATCTGAAAATAAACTTTTCATCTATTTATGAATTTTCTTAACTAGACTGTGAACTCTTATTTAAGAGTCCTTAACTTGTGCCCTTTCCTCAAGTGCTTCAATTCTAACTTTTTTCTTTTGCTTCCTGCAATATAAACTTGACACCAACTTACACTCCCCTGTTTATGTGTCTAATTCCATTTAAAGCTTTCTCTTCCCAACTGGAACCAAAAAACCCTTTAGGATGAAAGTTAATATTTCACTTCTTTGTAAAAGCATCTCAACAAAGCTGATGTCCAACCAGTATTTATTAAATAACTGTTAATTTGTCCATACTAAAAACTGGATACATTTTATTACCTGAGGAAAATTCCTCATCATCTTAAGTCACAATGATATAAAGCCTCCAGTCTGGCTGGTATATTTGGAGAATGGAAATGACTTTCTAAGGCTAAGCTTTAGTTCAGTTATTCTCAGTGCTTTAAAACCAACACTTAAATAAGATGGGTCCCACGTCACCAACATCCCCCGTATTCCCTAGCATCCATTCATCCATATTTTCTTTCCAGGCTTTCCCCAGGAAACAGCCATCAAATATCCCTAACCCTAAAACAAACAAAACTCATTTCCTCCCAGTCTCTGAAAAATGGCTTATTTTAATGTATTAAAAGCCACACTCATTGTTTGGAGCCTTTCAAAAAGCTAGTAATTCAGGCCTTCTCATATTCCCTAAAATCAGAAACAGAGCTGATTTCATGCCTATCCTGTCCAGGAGGCAGTTCTTTTCTCAGGTTTTTTTCCTGTTACTAGAAACCAAAAAGATTGGTAGATTGCCTGAGAGGGTTCAGATGCCTCCTCGAAGGCACTATCTTTTGTCCTTTCAGAAGTTGTCTTGATGGGTCGGTTTGGTCCCACTGCCATATCTTTGACCACAATCATCCCCACTGATCCTTTAACAGTACTGTGAGGTATCAAAAAAAGCCATTAGTATAGCCACAAATTGGTAAGATTTATCTTTATACCTCAAAGTTTTTTGAACTGATTGACCTGAGCTCAGCTGTCTTATACCAAATTTACCTCTACTTTATCATAGCTAGTATGAAAAGAAATATTGTTCTGATTTTTAATTAGTTGCTTTAGTTATTATTTTTTAAATGACTTTGATTAGGCATGCCCTTTGAAAGTTCATCTTCCTGTTTCCCATTACATATGTTCTGCAAACAGCTGTTTAAAAGTTCTTCAATTAAGAGTAGCCCTTATATACAGAAATCTAGAAACCACAGAGCAGTTTTCTCACCTCTTTAATTTTCCATAAGGTATCAATATTATACTGTCATATATGCATATGTATCTGTATTATATATATGTATTCGCTTTTTTAAAAAAGTAAAAAGCTCTTCTTAGTCTCCTGTGTCCAATATAGGCACCAAAAATGTATTTAAAAATTAAATAAAGGCCACAAGTACTTCCCAAGGAAGATCATTAAAAAAGAAAAATCCTCTCTTCCTCTTATGTCATACAGCTGGCCTTCAAGACACAGCAGCTAATAAAATGGTGTGACCCATGATGACAGGAAGACTACACCATTCCATCTTTGGGTGGTAGCTGAATTTCTATTAGCAGTCCTAGTAAAATATATAACTCCTCATTTGTTCTAAGCAAGTCTTTTCTTCAGCTTTCCTTCAAACAATACCTTTACTCTCCCATTAGAATATGAAGACTTGGAGCTTCTGAATAGCAAGGTTCTGGGTGGGAATCAGTCACTTTAAATCATGTGTTGGCTATGCAGAGAGGGAAAGATACAGGACAACAGCAGGGAAGGAGGAGAAAAGAAATGTAAGTTCACTGGGAGCACTAGAAGACAGCAAGACTTTCAAAGGTGTTGCCGGTATCTCATGAAGGCCCAGGCTGCAACCATGGTGAGGGCAAACACTGGCAGCAGCACCATAGCTATGGGAACACCACTTGGCTCCCCTTCACCTCGATGTCCTATAGGTCCATTCTGCTCCTGTAACTGGAAGGGAAAGAAAAATGTTAACTCTAGTGACTACAGTGTTTACCACAATTGAAATGTCATGTTGACACATCACCCAGGGTTGTAGCGTGTAGAGCACCCAAAGTGGTAAACTCAAGCATTTCCTATTGTCCTGAGCTTATGCACCGTAGACATAGATGTTTTAGGAAAAAATAGGCCTGAGGGTTCCCCAAGGGCAAGTCAGATGTACTCAGTTTCTGTACTGCCTCCATCTCACTGCATGTGTTTCATATCAGGAAAATGGAGTTATGAGATGAAACCTATTTATCCTGTGAGGAACCTGGATATTACTAAGAAGGAGAAGAGAGAAGGAGATATCTTCCTTGGAATTTTGCTTATATGATTATTAGTCATCAGAATGTAGTAAGAGCAGATCAAGGAAATGTAAACAAAGGTGCAATGCCATCACTTCGAAATGTTTTTCAGTTCCTGGGAGGTACCCCCTTCCTCCTAAGATGAGGTCTTGTCCTTCACGCCCTAATTTATAACACTAAGGTGAAACCTATATGGAAGAGAGGTTAAAGAATGAGAGGTAAGTGAGTAATAATAAATTATATACTAGTTATTATAATTTCTCAGTGCCTAAATATTCCTTTTGAGATTGGATTATCTTTCTTTATTGCATTTTTTTCAGGGTGGCCCTTCCAAATATCAACTTTTAATGATTAACTTGCAGTAATTATGGTGCTATCTTGTTTCAGTTAGATTTTACCTCCTTGTGATAACCTATGAAACTTCAACCCTTCCATCTGAAAGATAAGACCACACAAACTACCTTTTATACCCTCTATCCCACTTCTACACATTTCATTTCTTTCTTGATGTTCTGAGAGGGTATATTCAATAGGAAAACATGTATTTTAGGATTGGGCCAATTCCCTTGAACAGCAGGATCTGTTGTATTAGGAGTTATTTATAAATGTCCCTAAAGTGAACATTGCAAACCACTTCCCACACACCTTTGAAAAGAATCCTAATTATATCTTAAGTATATGCCTATATTTAATTGCCTTTACCTACTACATAAACTCTCCCATACTTTAGAAATACAGAAGAGTCAAGGCACAAGCAGTGGTTGACCAATATTGTCTCTTATCAACTTTTTCTTTTTTTGTTGGGGTGGGTACTGAGGATTGAAGGATTGAACCCAGGGGCACTTAACTACTGAGACACATCCACAGCCCTTTTTTGTATTTTATTTAGAGACAAGGTCTCACTGAGTTGCTTAGGGTCTCACTAAAGTTGCTGAGACTGGCTTTGAACTTGCGATTCTCCTGCTTCAGCCTCCTGGGATTATAGGCCTGTACCACTACACCAGGCTTATCAATCTGCTTTCTAATCCATCATACTCACATTCTGTTTGTGATACTAGCTACTAGCTCAGCTTTTGTGTTTTTCCTTCTCCATTTTTTTTTTACTAGTTTCTCTCAAACTTCTATAGCCTCTCTTTACTCAGTCACTAGGTAAAGCAAAGAATATACCAATTTAAGAAGGAATAAAAGGCACAGTGAACCTGTACTGTGAATACACTTAGAAATTCTTGGTGCTGTGGGAAGAACTGTCTAAAAAATACCCTTCATTTTCATCATCCAAATTATAATCACTAGGAAATAAAAAGTGATGGAGGGACAGATATTGTCTTAACCCAATTTTGAATTCCATTTCCTTTTTCCTAGAACTCCCCTTTGAGCATGATAGCTTTTGTCAAGAGTCATCAAGTTGGTTGAGAAGGGTTCATGGCAGTGATAGGGAAAGTAAAAAAGGGATCCAGGAAACACCCCATCTTTGTAGTCCAGAGTTTTATAAACAAGATTTTTCCAGGGCAGGTATATGTTTCTTTTCCCCCCAATTATTTAAACTTGACTATTAAGCTTTATCTTTAAAGAACATTACCTTGAAGGTAGGATCTGGGTTACAAGCAAACTGTTCAGAATTTCTTTTGATGACAAACAGAAGAACCAGAGAACTCCTGCCTGTGCCAAACAAGCTCTTCAAAGTAGTGACAGAAAACAAAACAAAACACAAACCCACCCATAGGTTTACTCACAAGGATGGTGCAAAAACCCAATGGCTACAAGTGACACCTACCCTGTGTTGCACTCTCAATGAAACAGCATAGCCTGCATTACGAAAGAGGTCTACCGCATCCTGGTGCAGCAGGTTCTTTAGGTCTTTACCATTTACCTGTCAAAAACAGTGAGGGAGAATAGTAAGAGAAGCAGACAGCTAACTCTCATAAGTCAACAATCTACTTTCATATGGCCAAAGCTATAAAAATAAAACAAAAAAACCCCAACTCTTTCAGGGCAAGTTCAAAGGGCTAGGAATAAAGGAAAAACTACTTAGAGTCATTTTCCCCCCCATTTTCAAAGTTGTTTTCCTACAGCTAAGGTTCTGTGGGCCATAGGAAGAGAACCTACATAAAAATAAAATGGGTTCTCCTTTTTCCCAGCTTCTATGCCTTCCTGTTTTGACACTTGGGATTCTTTTACTATATTTGTATGTCTTCCTAGAGAATTAGCCTATAACTAAACAATCTTCGAGGTTATAACCCTATTCTTGATATTCTTAATCCTTAGCATTATCAATTTTAAATCTGAAAATGTAATTCTATGAAACTCTCCCACAATTAATTGATTGATTGATTGATAGATACCAGGGATTGAACTCAGGGACACTTGATCACTGAGCCAAATCCCCAGCCCTACTTTGTATTTTATTTGGAGACATGGTCTCACTGAGTTGCTTAGTGTCTCACTTTCAGCCTCCCAAGCCACTGGGATTACAGGTGTGCACCACCACGCCCAGCCCACAATTTATTCTGATATAAATCTATACTGGCACATTCTCTTGGGCTTACTTTATTGTGACTAATTTTCCTGAATTCCATAGACATTCCTATCCTCAAATTTACTAAACACCATATTTCTGTGATGATACAAACCTTAAAAAAGGCATTTATACATAGGCTACTCTTGGCAGTTAAAGGTAAATGATGTGAGGAATACTGGAATTGATACTGTTTATGGTTAGGAGTGACACTGGCCACAAGTGATATCTATCCTATGCTGTATGTACCCAGTGACACAGCACAGTAAAATGTGTACAAGATTACAGATCTTTTGTACAAGATTACAGATCTTTTGTACAAGATTACAGATCTTTTGTACACATCAGTGTTATCAACAACAATAGCAGTAAGAATATTTACATATTTATCTATGCTTTGTATATGTTATCTTAATTCTCTCATCGTGTGAAGAAAACAGCATTTTTATATTGCTTTCATTGATGCAACAATTGAAGCTGTGTAAGACTAGTGAGTACAGGAGCTAGGGCTAGTTTTTAAATAATGGAAGGAGAATCAGAATATCCTTGCATTCTATGGTCCACATATGCTACTCTTCTACCACCCTAGCTCACCAACCATCCTTGGCTTGATTGAAGCTCAAGCTATTGACTTTTTCAATTCTCTCATCTCCCTTATCACAATCTTTCTTGGCCAAAAGATTCATAGCATTCTATTTCCTGCTAATGCCCTTGGTAAATTTACCAATACTTTTGCCCTTCAGGCTGTCTATTCTCTTTATAGTTTCCAACTCCACTTCTCTTTTGTTACTAACTGACTGACACACACTTAAGACTTAACATTAGATATGCTTCAACTTAAAACTATTAAAACTATTAAAAACTTAAAACTATTAAAAACCTGTCAATTTCTACTCTTTTTATACTTCGTAATCCTCTAGTGGATCTCCTCTTTAACTTCAGAATCTAAACTTTTTTACGCATTTTACTGGTACTTTTACCCATCTTCACAATTGCATTTGTACCTTCAACCAAGCACTTAATGAATTATTGGAATTTGTTGTCCCCAAGATCTTCTGACATCTTCCCAGTCCTGGGCAACGTACTACATCTACTTTCCTTGTCATCACTGAGTTGAATATTCATAGAGAAAGATAGTAACTCTACGACAGATACACATTAGCTGAGTCTGGCTTATCCTTAAAACACTCTACTCATCAAACAAACCCACGAAGAAATATACAGCAGTATCTCTTCCGCACCTTTTCCACCATCAAAACCCCTTCAAATCTTCTCTCCTCTCAGCAGATTCCTATCTCATCTTTTTTGAGAATAGTGAGGATTTCTCACATTCTCACCCTTTTCTTATCATCCTCTTCAGTTTCTTGATATCCTCTCACTGCTCCTTTCCCCTAATTTCTGAATTAGATCTATTTCCTTTATAAGGATAAACCATCTAGTGAAGTACTTGTTCATATTCTATTATTTATTTTCTCCTCTCAATTGCTTTATTTCTCCTCTATAAAGAATACAATTATTTTTTTATTTTTATTTTTTTTGGTGATAGTGACAATTAAACCCAGGGATTCTTTATAATTGAGCTACATCCCCAGTTCTTTAAATTTTTTTTTTTTTAATTTTGAGACAAGATCTTGCCAAGTTGCTGAGGCTGGCCTTACATTGCAATCATCTTTTCTCTGCCTCCCAAGACTCTGAAATTTCAGGCATGTGTTACCATGCCTGGCCTCGTCTTTCATTGCCAAACTGTTTAAAGACCTGTTTGCAAGCACTGCCTCCACTCCCTCAGAATCCATTCACTCTTTATTCCTTTATAATTTAATAATATATAAGTCGGGAGGAACATGTTCTCTTGAAGGTCAGCAGTGATTTCCAATTGTCAACTCTTTCTCAATCTTCACACCAACTCCTTCCTTTTGTAATCTTCTCCTATCTTGGCTTATGTATACTTAGCTCTCTTAGTCCTTAAATTATTCTTTTTCTGATTCCTCTCCCTTTCCTTCTTCTTAAAGTAAATTAGCATTCTTCACTGTGAGTCCTTCAACCCTTCTCTCTCATGATGATCTTTCACAATTCCAACCATAACCTATAAGATAACTCTCAATTTTTATTCTGCTTTTACTTTGGGATTTGCCAATTTCCTGCTGAATGCTTATACTTGACCTCAATGCTCTACTAGACCTCAAATTCAACATATCCAAAGCCTCTTGGTAACTTCCCACAAAACCAGAAATTTCCTGACTTCCTTCTCATTGCTACGACCATCCCTTCACACTAAAATGTTAATACCATTTTGCTGTTTAAGACACAAAAACAAAACTGGGGAGCAAGGAGAGTGCATACTTGATTTCTCAAACTGGTATGCAAAGTCCTCCAGGAAAAGGCTCTAACCCACTTTCTCAGTTTAATCTCTCTCTTCCTTTATATATCCTATGCCCAAGATATGCGTAGCTTACTGACCCCTAGGACCTAAAACATAAACAAACATTCATATTTATGCTGAAGCTATAGTCATCACCTAAATGCTATTTCCTTTTCCAAAATTCTACTTATCTTTCAAGATTGATCTTTAAAAGGATCAGTCCTGCAGTGTTTGCTGGCAAAGAGTAGGAGTTTTGGTGACTTGGATTTTGACCAAAGGTAGTCTGTGAAAGGAACTTTTTCCTCCAAGGTTCTCAAATCCAAGGGTAAGGGTGTCAAATACTACAGCACTACTCTCTCCAACACACTGCCCTGCCACACTGAGAGCATCAAACCTTCTGTTTCTCTCCTACTCCCCACATCACTACCAAGTTCTTCAGTGTTTTATATAGATTTTAAGTTCATTTAAATTACCTTTTTCCTCATGAATGAGTTATTTATAGAGATTTTGTTAAATATTGAGCCATATGTGGATATTGGACATGCATATGTAGATATTGGCAGGGTTGTGTTTGGTTTATGATACTGTGCAAACATTTCATATTAGCCAAAAAACAGAAATACATACCAAAAAAAAAAAAAAAAAGGATCAGTCCTGCTACCTATAATATAGACTAAACATACAGGGTTTTCTTCTAGTTGACGGACCTTGATTTCACATTATCAAGACAACTTCTGATTATGCCTTTTTTGGGAGTGGGGGAGATAGGCCACATGGGAGAAACTTTACAATGAATTCTCAATGACTCAGTTTTCTAGTTAACTCCCAGGGGAGAGAACAGGTGTGAGATTACTGACTTTTTGTAGTGAGAATGCCCACTTATGTAATCTAGCCCATATATTAACTATATTTCTCATTGTAAAAAAAATAGGTATTTTCTATTAGAGCATACAAATAAGTTAATAATGCAGTCCTGTCAGCAAATGTCAAATGATGTCACAGCTCCAAATTAGTCTCAACAGCAAAGTTTCACAATAATATGAATTCAAGTGGAATAATTGGATCACTCCATGACATTCATGGTAGGAATACTGAGCTTAAAATAATCTTTGCCATAATGTTCAGTAATGATTCCAGGAAAAATTATTTAACATTTATCATTATGTTTGGGGCTTCCTAGTCATTCTACCTACATTAACTCATTTAATCTTCACAATGGTTCCTTTACATTAGGAACTTCCATGTTTTAAGTGATAAAGCAAAAACTCAGAGAAACTATCAGCTCATCTATGAGCACATATAATGTAACAAAGCAAAGATTCCAACTCAACCATCCTGGCCCCCAAACCTTCACTTTAAAACTCTGATCTGCACAAATTTACACTGTAAGCAAGGATCTCATTTCAGCAACATTTCACTATCTCATTAATGATGTAAATTAGATTTTATAGTTTTGTCTGTATTTAATGTTAACTTTACACATGCATAAAACATAGGTCTTTAAATATTAGTATTTTTATTCATTTGTATATGCTAAAGTAGATTTAAAATTTTAAAAACGCAACTTAGCTAAATGCCACTTCATGGACAAAGTCTTCATAATTTCACTACTAGATGTGACTGGTTTACTTCTTTGGATCTCCGTAATATATAATTCTCTTAAGGTCAAACTGAACTCTGCCTCATGTCATTTTACATTCTACTTTGAGTAACTTGAAGTAGTTGTATCTCAACTCATCATTATAAGCCTTATAACACCTGAAGAGCAGTTTGTACAACACTTGAACATAAGAAATATCATGTTTTCCTGAAGTTTGGCTACAAGTATGCCCTGCAGGAAGACTGACTGACAACAATCTCAGTATCACAGAGTTGAAAGGTCTGGAGTCTAATAATAGCTCTATCTGCCAATGATTCAGTGAACAATCTTGGCCCTCATTTGAACCTCCTCCTGCTAACAAGGAAGAAAGACATTGATGATATTAGGCAAAAGAAG